ATAAACCTCCAATTAGCATGAACAAGCCAATCCCTTTCTTTCTCACCGTTTCAGGAAAATTTTAAAAGTATCCCTAGGACACTTAACAAACACAGGCTACAACACACCCGCACGTGGGCAAACCCCAGAAAATGACCAAAGGAGACAGAAAAACCAGACTTGAGAGCAGTGCACAGAAAGCAAACCTCCAAAGTACAGGTACGTGTGAAAGGAGAGCCCAGAGCCTACGGTGTGGTCCTTCACCTTCATTTTCAGCACCTGAGACCATAATTGTGAAATAAACACCCTCCAGACACAGAAAGTTCAACAGTTTCGAAGCTCGCTGAGACTGAAAGTTGAAGAAAAACTCACCAAACCATTTAATATTTGGTTCCACTCTTGCAACTGTGCCTGGTGCCACTGTTGACTGATACTGCAGAGGCTTAATCACTTTACCATGCTTGTTTCTAAGTGAAAAACGAGAACACGTGTAAATACAGGAGGGCAGCACACACCCCTCCAGCACTTTCGTTCACTACACAACATCAGAAAGACCCTTCACCTAGAACTGGTGCCCTGAGGTTGTTACCAGCGATGGTACTGCCTGTAACGACTAATTAACTGAGACTGGAGCAGAGGTGCTGTCAGGCAGCACACGCTCCTCAGTCTCACCCCAGCCTGACCAGGCCCCTGACGAAGGCTGCCTACGTCAGGCCAGGAACGGCTCAGCACGGTGCAAGAAGCACCAAAGTACATTTTCCTAACAAACATCATCTTCTCTCATGGGTTCATGTGGAACTTTTCAATCAGCTCTACCCGCCAGTTGGTGCGGGGCACTCATCAGAAGGTAATTTCCAAGTTGAGACCTGGCTTAAATTCAGCAATTTTTAAAAATACATATTCTCTGGCCTGCTCTCAAAACGAAGTGAAATCTGGCAAAACAAAACTGCTAATCTGAAGCAGAACTCTCAGAAAGCCCCTGCGGTAGCCACAACACGGCAGTGACAGATGTCTACGAGGTGGGAGTTGCTCCACAGCAATTCTGGGGGGAGCGAAGGGGCGACCCTCCGCAAAGGAGCTGCATGGAACTCGGGTTCTTCAGACACTGAGGTTCTGCTGCCGTGGGGAGTGAGGGAATTCCGGGCACTGGGGGTTCACGGCAGCTCTTCCACATCAGGTGTTTCCCAGTTGCCCTCCCCGCTCCACGGCGCCAGGCTGCGGGAGCTGGGGGGGAAGGTGCCCAGCTCACGGCGGGACCGGGGACAGGATCAGCGCGGCTCCGGGACAACGAACAGGGATTCTGTCACCAGAGCAGGGGCCGCTGCCCGCGCCGCGGTTCCATCTGCCGCAGGCTGAACGCACTGGCACCGGAGGCCGCGCTGCCAGCCCGCACCGACCAGCGGGCTCCCCGCGCCGCGGGGCTCCGGGGTCTCCTCAGGGACGGCCCGGCGGGAGCCCG